CTATGATGTAATTAACTATAGGGGCTTGCCCTTATAGGAAGCTTTTCCCGAACCCAACATAATATAAACCCTATTTAATTCCTTATATTAAATAGGGGAATTTGTCGGCCAATATATTGGTTTCGCAGACCAAACGGATGTCATAACTTTCTCTAGTTTATTTGATCGAGCCTCACCCTCAATTCTTGTGTTCATCCTTCGGGATAGATACAGGATTTGAGGTAAAATGCTCTTTCATCTAAACTATGAAAATTATGGGGTCAGTTTGACTTCATCTTTTTCAAAAATAAAATTTTTTAAAAAACGTCCTTCCGAAGTGGGCAACGGGATTTCAATTCCGATGACCGACAGCTTCTTACGGGCAAACCCCACACCAAAAATAGTGCCGACAGTGACAAACATGTGTAGTCAACTCCCATAGCTAATTCTCGGAATTTTCACTTACAGCCTACCAAACGATTATGATACAGCCGAATGCTAATATTGAAGGATCATTAATGTCCCACTTCAAATAATTATACATCTGAAACGGTGTTAACGATAATTACAAATATAATGAATCCCATATTCAGCTATAAATATATAAAAGCGTAACGATACATGAATTATTTATAACATTACTATTAAAATAGAATCAAATATATAACTTACTAGAGATTTCTATGACTTATAAATAGAATACACATTTCCTTAAAAGATTAAAAAATTCATTATCAAAAAAATTATATTATTAGGCACTTAAACTTTTTCTCTCTTTCTTCCACTATTTCTCTTGTTTATTCCCAACTACTTTCCCAATGTGTCATAATATTTTTGAATTCCAAGTATGAAACATCATTTCACACATTCATTCACCCACCACAAATTTCCTTGATCCAATATTTTAAAAACTTTCATTTTATCTTTATTAATATACAGCACATTCAACGCTTAAATTAATTATTACATGAGAAATAATTTAAACAAGTGGTCAATGTAAACATCTTCTGCAAAAGATTTGTTCGTCCTTTCCAAATCGAAGGAGATCTGAAAGCTCCGTCAGATCATTCCAAGTCTACTTTAGTCAACCGCTGGTAATGCAATTTCATTAATTTTGGGGAGCGGATGAGTAAATTGTTTACCCGGAAAAACTGCCACGATCCATGACGCTGTGCCCGCAGAGATCTAATTCATTCATTGTTCCCACACCTGCTTGCTTCGGATGCCTTCACGCCTGTCAAAAGAGCATCACAGCTTGATCGTATTTGAATAAATTAAAGATGCTCCTATTTTATTCAATTCAATTTCCACAAAAGAAAAATCAGCACAAATTTAAATAAGTCCAAAAAAAATTTAAATTAATTATTTTAATAAATAAATATGCAAAAAATAAATCTCTAAACTTATTTATTTTACTAAATAAATATAAAATAAATACATTTTCTGTAAAATATAATTATATTTACTCAGTAAAAAAATATTAATTAATACATAAAGATTATGTACATAGACAATAAGTCTTATATATATATATATATATATATATAATGGTCAGAGGCTATGATGGCAACCCAAGTATGGTCAGAGGCTATGATGGCAACTCCCAGTCACTCTAGTATGCCTAACCACTTGATTCCACGTTGTAAAGTAAGATGCACTCACACGACCACAAATCAATGATTCCAAAGGACTTCGAACTGACTTCACAGATGCAACTTGTGTCGTGTACCGTAGCCTGTTGGTTGACATTCACGTTATAAGACTATTTAGGTTGGAGGTTAGAATCTCACTCTGGCACATGATTGGTCTTAAGGATGTGGTACTCGATTTGTCAGACACATTAAGGGTGGTCGGAGATTTGTATAATAGACTTTGACCATTTCTTTTAAATAACAAATATATTTATTAAATTTGAATTTTTTTATACTAAATAATAAAATTTTAATGTGATATTAAAAATTTGAATTTTACATATATAAATATGAAAGTTTAGATATTAAGTTGAATTTTATGTATATAAATATGAAAGTTTAAATATTAAATATATAAATACATAAAAAATTATTTAATTGTTATATGGGGGCCCAAAATTATATCATTAGTAAATTATTTATTTATTTAAAATTCATTTATACGATAGATAAATATGAATATAACAAATTTAAGAAAATAGGAAATAAAAATATTAACTCAAAAACAACTCGTTTGCCCTCAAGACTCCCAATTGAGATATTATGCAAAGATCACATCATTAGCCCCCTTAAGCTGGGCCCGCGGGTGGGCATACCACCGTCGGCCATCTGATAAAAAGACAAAAGCTAGGGCCACCCAGCAACCGAGAAGGGAAAGTTGGACAGCTCACTTCCTTGCTCTGCACTACAAATCAGAGCAAATTGCTGAAAGATCGGATCTTGATTTCGATGCGTTGGGATTTTGGTGGGATTTGCGTTGCTTTGTTGTTGCCGCGAAGATTCCGATATAAAGGAGTGAAAGGAGCAAATCTTCACCAATCTGTTCTAGTTTCTTCTCGATTTCAATTCAAATTCATTTCTTCGGCTATTTGATTTGAGGAGGATATTATGGCCGTAGCTGCGGAGACGCAGTTCCATGTCTTAGCGGTGGATGACAGCATCATTGATCGAAAACTCATTGAGAGATTGCTCAGGACTTCCTCGTTTCAAGGTATTCTAGGTCAAAACTATAGTAAATTTATTGACGAGTAATTTGTTTCTTCATTTGTTATCTTCGGTTGATTTCCAATTTTTAATCAGCTTTGTTTGCTGTAATTTTCCTAATTAGTTACCGCAGTAGAGTCTGGAAGCAAGGCACTGGAGTTCCTTGGGCTGCTGGAGGGCTTGAAGAACCCACCATCTGCCCCTGCTTACCAGAATGTGAGCATTTTTCTCTTTTTTTGGATTATATCTATGATGGATTTTAAAGGATTAGTGTTTTATGGATTAATTTGTTTATTTATGCTTCTGGATTTGAGCAGATTGATGTGAATATGGTTATTACGGACTACTGCATGCCAGGAATGACTGGGTATGATCTATTGAGAAAAATTAAGGCAAGCTTTTGTTTGTTTTTTTTTTTTGGTTTTTATCTTTTAATTGTGCATTCAAATTTTCCTATTTGTTTAATATGATTGATTTATTAGTTGTGGAGAATTGTGAGAGTTTATTGTAGATGATTTGTTGTTCAGGAGTCATCTGCTTTGAAGGATATTCCTGTTGTGATTATGTCATCTGAACATGTGCCTTCCAGGATCAACAGGTGAGGGGCAGCTCTTTTGAATGGTTTCATGGAACTTGGATGATTTTTTTCATTGTTTTAGTCTTCCTGAGGTTAATCTTCTAATTAAAGATAATAATTATAAGTAAATATTTCGTTAATAATATTAAAGAATATATTTATATCTGATGTGCCGGAATGAAAATTTATAATTATGTTATAAGCTTGAATCAGCTATTTATTTTGGTTTTTTTTTCATAATTTATAAATGCCTTTTAAATTGTTTGTTGGATTTTTTAAAATTCTATGAAAAAAAAAATCATATTCCTCAGTGATTATTTATGTAAGATTTTTTAAACAAGAATGTTAGATTTTAGAAATAACATTATTATTGATTAGTTGAAGTTCTGTACATTGCAAGTGCAGTGAAAATGGCTTTTAACCAGATATATTTCAACTTCAACGAGCAAGCACTAGACTCATCATAAATCTTTTTCTCAAATGAGAAACCTTTTTATCCTGTCTCAAATAATAAGTTCTCATAATTTGAAGATTATATGATTATGCTTGCTTAATTTATTTGTTGTCTTTATTCCGCCCAATTCTCCTATCACAGATAGTGTGGAAATAGTGCGGAGTCTAATGATGGGAAGTCACGTGCTAAGTGATTGGTCTCATCGAAGCATTAGGCTTAAGATGCATCCGGATCTATATGTAACATTTTTTTTTTCGAACTAAGAAAGGGGTTTTACATACTAGCTACCAAAAATATTAAGTAAAACATTTTACACTCTTGGTTCTTAAATGATGCCGTCTCTCATGCATACGGGATTGCTATTAAAAGCTAGATATAAATACCTTTGTTACTTTCCACATACCTTTGTTACTTTCCACACTTTTTACACTTTTCTTTCCCAAGGAAAGTAGCCTCTTAGCCGTGCACAAAGTCCACTAATTTCTCTGTATAATTAAAAGTTGGTGTCCTTTTCCTGCCTAAAAATCATCTCTTCCACAGAGAAGTTCGCTACATCCCCAAAAGAAATAAAAAGTTCTCAGTTCTGCTCAGCGGAATCTGCGAATAAAGGAAAAGTCTTCTCCTCTTTTACCAGTGCTCTAATCTTTTTCTGTCAAACTTCCTTCATTTTTTCCCTTTCTTTGCTAGATTTTATTTGGGTGGCTCAACCATCCTCAAAAAGGAATAAAAAGTACAAATGATAAAAGAACTCTCTAAATTTGCATATTTATATTTATAACACTTTTTGCTATTACAATCTTATGCATGTATATCACTTGTGGTATTTATAAAATCCGAATCTGTCATATTAACATCAAAAGTGCCACCTTTTTTATTTATAGACATTTTTGTGTTGATAGCTAGAATGTTATAAATAAAAAAATTAAATTTTTCAATGATGTGCAATGATCACAGGTGCTTGGAAGAAGGAGCTGAAGAGTTCTTACTAAAACCAGTAAAACTATCTGATATGAATAAGCTATTGCCTCGTATACTAAAAGGGAAATCGAAAGAGCATCTGCTGGAAAGCAGCATTGATGATGGCTTCAGCACAAATAGTGCTAATCTAAGTGGCAACAAAAGGAAAGTTGTGAATGAAGAAGAGCTTTCGCCTGAGAGAAAAGTGGCAAGATTATGTTGTGATATATAGAAAGGTTGAAGATAGGTTTTTTTTCTTCATTTTCTTTTTTTTTTTTTTAATTTTTGGCATATACGTGATTTTTACTCTTATTTGTTTCTTTGGGTTCTTTTGGGTGGGAGAGGAGTCTATAAACATGCACTTAATTCGATTTTGCTGTGCTTACCAGCTCTGTAATTTTTTTGAAATGATTGTGTATATAGGGGTGTGTGTTCTAATTTTAATTTCAGAAATAGCATAGTTTTTTGGGGTTTAGTTAGATATTACTTGATGCCACGAACAAAGTCTCTTGTATTAATTAATTTTTTAAAATAAACATTAAATTATTTGAATTTAATATCAGTATGTAATGATAATATATTGATAATATTTTCTTCTACTTAGTATTGTAATATTTTGAATCAATATATTATTGAATAATTAGAATGTGATTAAGTCTAATTCCTCCGATTCTGCGATGTCATTAATTTTCAAATTTTTTTAGTTTTTACATTGGTAATGCCTATATATATATGTATATATGTATATATATATATATATATATATATATACATATATACATATATATAGGCATTACCAATGTAAAAACTAAAAAAATTTGAAAATTAATGACAATATTTTTATAGGAATGACCGTAGGCTATTATATGAGTCTCAGTCATCTCTCATGCACCTAATAATTTGAGTATCACAACCTATATTTGGGGGATTTGAATCTCTCTCTCTCTCTCTCACACACACACACAGATCTATCTATATATCTGTGTGCGCGCCCTTGTGCCATCTATCTAAATGTATGAACTTGTTTTAAAAATATAGGATGTGTTATGAACGATTTGGGTGGTATAAAATAAAAATTCATTAATTCAAAGCTTAGGTGTTACATATGTAGAAATGCCTTATTAAAATTTTATTTTAGCATGATCAAATGTTAAAGTTATAAATCGTTTAATATTATAAATGGCTCATTTGAAATTGGGCCTATACATTATTGATTTTAAACGATTTTCACCGGTTTTATATGAAATAGATTTTGGAGCTAAATTCAACTGACATTAGAATCAGGTCATGGTTGAGCTCTCTTCAAATCGATTTTTAAAATCATTGGAAATACTCGGGGTTTGATTTGGGAGAAATGCTACAGAGAGAAGCCCGGTTTGAAGGAATAGCTTGATTATTTGATGAAAGGCTTTTGCCGTTGTTGGGAACTTATTTAGGAAGATTTGCATACATTATCACTCAATTTATATGTATTTACAAATCGAATATTTCTTGTTGGAACTTTTTCAAGAAGGGATGGAAAATAAGCCCCAAAAGCATGAGTATTATGCTCCTTTTATATCTATTACAATACTACAGCCTCATTTATAATAACTTCGCAGGGGTAAAAGAATCAAATGACAGCTAAAAAGGGAAGTCTTGAATACAAAAAGGAAGCAGCCCTAGAACATGAAACATAATAGAGTCTCTGTTCCAAGAGTTGACAGCTAAGGCTTCTGAAGGAGCCGATAAAGTGCGGAGCTGGTATGATCCTTTTTACCCCTCTTCAAGGAACCCCCCTTCAAGGCGATGCTTGACAAGTTGAATCGTGAGCTTCGTTGTGAGCTTTTGATGTTGAGTAAATGGGAGAGATTTGATAATTATATTAACTTTCTGATCTTCAGACATTGTGACGATAAGATAAATGTCCCAGTTTTAGGTGACCACGTATGAAGTGGTATTCCACTTCTATGTGTTTGGCGTAAGTGTGAAAAACATGATTGTGAACTTGGGCAATCACAAAAGTGCTGCCACTATAGTGGTCAAGGAGGTTAGTTTTTTCAGTGAGTTTAGCCAAATTAGTTTAGTTGTGGTGGTAGCTAGTGTCTTGTATTTTGCTTCAGTAGATGATTTTGCAACCGTAGATTGCTTTTTAGTTTACCAAAAGTAGATATTTTAACCTAAGTATATGTAGAAACATGTAACCCCAATCTGTCTTTACATAGTCATGTAAAGTAAGAAATTTATCGTGTATAGGTAGGCCGTGGTTTTGAGTGCCTTTGAGATATCAAAGTATTTGTTACAAATGTAGTTGATGGAGTGTGTTGAGATTGTGCATGTATTCACTGAGAAAGTTAACAATAAAGGTGATGTCAAGAAGAATGACAGTGGAGAGAACCTATGAGCTTTTTGTACTCTTAAAGTTCATTAAGAGAAGTGGGTTTGTTTGTGTGATGATGAGGGTGAGTGGAGAGAGGAGTGAGAATGGGTTTGTAGTGAAGCATGTCGATGGTGGCAAGTAAATCAGTGAGATGGTTTTATGTATGGGATAACTAGTGATAATGAGTTGAATTTGAAGACTGAGAAAATGTTAGATGTGACCCAGTTGTTTTAAATAGAGTTGAGTGCTTAGAGGGTGATGTAAGAGATCATGTCTAGAGAGGAATTTCATGTGATTAATTTATCATCAATATTTATAAAAAGATAAATTATGATATTATGATGATGATAAATTAGTAAGGAGGGGTCGACAATGCTTAATAAGAAGTTTTGAGTGGAAAGAAATTGACAAAAAGTAGAGTACAATCATCTACGTGTTTGTTTGAGACCATAGATGGCTTTGTGTAATTTGCAGACATGATGAGAGCGTTGAGTGTCCGTGAAGTCGAGAGGTTGTTTTATGTAAAAAATTTGATTAATTTTGTCATGAAGAAAGGGACTAGATATTTTGAGTTGTTGAATATCACACTTTTCATTCATGATAAGAATGATAAGCATCCTAATGGTGAGAAATTTGTCAACATGAGTAAATGTCATTTGATTTTCAAAGCCCTATTGTTGAGAGTAGCCATGGGCAACAAGGCGAGCCTTATATCTAGCAATATAGGATGTGTTGATTCGGAGGAGGTGTGAGAGATCATGCCCATTGCTAATGTACAGCCACAAATTCATCTAACATGGTCTGTCTCCAGTGCTTTTGATTCATGGCTTCAGTGAAAATTTTAGGTGTGTTTGTCGATCGCCAAAATTTGAGATTGAAGGCCACCAGAATGGATATCTTGATGCCCGATTTTAAAATATAATTTAGAAAAAGTAATATTTTAATTTTTGAATATATAAGACCGAACCGATCTCATATCTGCAGTAGTTTAAATGATCTAGAACAACACCACAAGCAATATATCTACCTCGAAGGATAAATACACTACTTGTTGGTGGTGTTCGATTAAATAAACTAAGGAATTTATAACATCTGTTTCAGTCTATGAAAAATCATTTTTATGTTGACCGATAAATTCCCCTATCTAATATAAAAAATTAGACAAAGTTTATATTACTTGGGTTCTTTAAAGCTCCCTATAAAGGCAATACCCTTAGTCAATTACATCTTAAATGACCAAAGTTACCTAAGAAAACTCTCGATTTAGATCAGAAAATATTGTCTTCAATGAATCCAAAAGGATAGTACTTTCCAAAGATCGGACAAAGATGTGTGAAATGGGACAGGCTCAAGTTTGGAACATTTATTTTAGAATCCAAAGAAAGAAGAACTAGGGTTTGTCACGGATCCTGAGGAGAGCTGCAATAACTTCCCAAGCTATTCTAAGGTTTGGCTTCAATTTTGGTGAGAAGATACTAAGTGTTTCTTCCTGTAGATTTTATTAGTTAGGGCTTACATTTGTGTGAGAGTCGCACAAATAGCTTAGAAGATGTGAGGATTTAGGTCATGATGAACGACAACCTCGGAATCCTAAAATGATTTAGTGCTTAAATTACACAACATGATTGTGCAAAGGTCTAAAGATGAGTTGATGATTTATATCGCACTAAGCGGACAACCTCAAAATTCTATTGATTGTTTTTTTTAATTATAAGGAAAGAAATTACTTTTGTAGATCCTCGTGTTGTTGTAGATCGCTGTTGTAGAAGCCTGCCCACGGAGTTAGCTCCAGGCTCCTCGGCGAAGTAGCATTCATAAAGTCTAAGGTTTAACATGTTTAAATGACAAGTTCAAGTTCAATCATGGGGGGGAGGGGCGTAAACTTGATTAGAGCGACACCGGTTAGGATCTCATGGTTCCCTCGTTCTGATATCACTATTTTCTTTTGAATTTACTAAGCTTAAATGAGTTGTTAGGCTCATTTAAATCGGGGAGATCTCATTATTAACCGTGGGTTACCTCCTTCAAGAGACTCCTGTAAATTCAAAATGACGTATTATGTTTGGTTGTTTTTCAAAAGATTTATGGTCACCTTTGAAAGAGTTTTATTTTGAAAATTGCTAATTAATTTTGAAATAATTGTTTGGTTTTGCAGGTGAAGTAAGATTTACAACCTAGCATGTTTAATATTTAGAGCAAGGTAAATTGTAATAAATGACAAAAATTAAATAACATTATAAAAGCGTACCTGTCATCTTCTCGCTGCTCCCACTGAAATATTTGCTTTTGCAACATGTATATAATTATGTAGGAAAAATAAGTAATTCGCAAAAGTAGATGAAGGGTAGTTGCCAAATCCTAAGCCATAACTTGGTGAGTCCCTAAAGGTTTTAATGGATGATATTCTGAACAAAGTATAATAAGTTCAATTATCCTTCAAAACATCCAAAAGGTTATAAAAGCGTTAGGGGAACAATTCCTATCGACTTTTAAATGCCTTTTAAAATATTTTGAGTTTATTTGAATCTATTATATTGTTTAATCAATCATCTCAAATTTTAGGTTTAGTTGCAATGAGTTGATACACCTTATGCTCAGTGAACCTGATATTTTAATTATCCCGAGAGTGGGGTACTCACTTAATCAGTTGATATTTTACGTAAAATTTATGTAGGTAGATGCCCCTAAGGCCAGTTTACGTCATTAAAGATCTTGTAAATTTCGGCTTGTAGTATTTAAAAGTGTTAATTATAAATTGTATTGAATTTTCTAAAGCTCATTAAACAAATTTAAATATTAAGGCTAGCTCACTACCAAGCCCTTAATAATTTCAATGGGTAAATTTGCAATTATCAAAAATTTTATTTTAAGTGAGGCATATCCTTATTAAAAGATCATATCATCACCAATTTTGGGCTTAAAATAAGTGGATTAACATCTTCCTAGCCTAATCCCATCACTTTAGAATCATTTAATTTTAACTAACTTCCAAATCATGATAATTTAAGAAATGACAATTTTACCCTCATCATGGAAAGGTGGCAAGTTGGTTCTACCTTTTAATCCATTATGTTTCAATTATCCAAAAGAATTCATTAAGATAAAAATTACCAATTTTTTCCTTTGGTTGAT